TGGAAGTGATATATAGAGAGAGTAGGTAGAGTGAAGGAGATGCATGTAGCCGCTGAAGGAGAAGGATGCTGCTGGAACCTTATGGTAGGCCACAGTCTCGTAGTGATACACAGATTAATGGAAATGGGTTAATTTAAGATATAAGAGTTAGTTAATAGTAAGTCTGAGCTAATAGGCCAAACAGTGTTGTAATTAATATAGTTTCTGTGTGATTACTCAGGTCTGGGCAGCAGGAAAATAAATGAGCAGTCTCCGCTTACAAGGGTTTATTTTTGGCTCACAGTTTCAGGAGACAGTTCATCCCAAAAGGAAGACATGAGAGTAGTGGGGCAAGATAGCTGATCCCAGGTGACTACAATCAAGAAGCAGAGACTGATGAATGCTTGTGTTACCAACATTCAAGTAAAGTTTTCTTTTACTTTACACCCTCAATAGACACATCTAGATAAGTGTTTCTCATCTAGCGATTCTAGATTTCTGTTTTGTTTTGTTTTGCTTTGTTTTGTTTTCAAGACAGGGTTTCACTATGTATTCTTTGCTGTCCTGGAGCTCACTCTGTAGACAAGACTGGAATTGAACTCATAGAAATCTGCCTGCCTTTGTCTCCTGAGTGCTGGCTAGGGCTAAAGTCACATGCTACTCCCACCACCCAGCCTCCCTCGTGATTCTTAATCCAGACAATTTGACAATGAAAATCAACCATCAAACACAGTGTCATTGTTTTTTTTGTCATATATTTCATAAAGAGTATCACATAGCTTAATTTGGGGGAAATCTTGAAACCAATAAACTTGAAATTTATTCTATATGCATGTATTTCTTTAATAATAACCTTTTTATTTGTGTAACTTTTTAAAGATTTTATTTTTTTGCTGGGTTGTGGTAGTGCATGTCTTTAATCCCAGCCCTTGGGAAGCAGAGGCACAGGCAGATATCTGTCAGTTCAAGGGCAACCTGGTCTACAGAGCAAGTCCCAAGACATTCAGAGCTAAAAATCATTTCTCAAAAAAAAAAAAAGAAAGAAAGAAAGAAAGGAAGGAAGGAAGAAGGAAAGGAAAACAAAAAAGGTTTTTTGTATGTATAGGTATTTTGCTTGTATATATGTCTGTGTATTACAAGCCTGTGTAGGACCAGCAGGGAAGTTACAGACAGTTGTGAGCTGCCATGTAGTTGTTGGGAATGGAACCAGAGTCCTCTGGAAGAGCAGCCAGGGTTTTTAACTCCTAAGTCATCTCTCCAACCTCTAGAGATTTTGTTTTTAACATGTATGAAAGTCTTGCCTGCATGTATGTCGGTACCAGGTGCGTACCTAGTGCTTAGATGGAGGAACATCTGATCTCTTGGAACTGGAGCTAACTGACCGTTGTGAGCCACCTTGTGGCAGCTAGGAATCAAACCCAGTTTCTTTACAAGAGCAGCAAGTGCGCTTAACTGCTGCTGAGACATCTTTCCAGTCCCAAATAATAACCTTTAGAAACAATCAAACACCCTATGAGTGGAAAGTTTGGGTTGTATAGTTGACTTTTTGTGAAAATATCAGTCTTTTAAAGAAACTTTCCGGAACGGCTGCGCACTACCTTTTCTTTCTTTCTTTTTTTTTTTTTCTTTTTATGCGCACTACCTTTTCCTTAGCTGTGGAACACTTCAGTTGCTTGGAACCCTTGCCAGTGTTGGATACTGCTGACTGTATTAGTGGACGTTTAGCAATATTTGCGCGTGTCTTACTCAGCAACAATGTTGATCATGTTTTCATTTGTTTATTTCCCATTTGTACATTTTTTTTGATGAGGAATCTATTAAAATTTTATTACCCAATTTTTTTTTAACCAGGTCTCTGCAGTTGGTTGTTGGTTTATGGTTTTTTGTTTGTATGTTTATTTGTTTTCTGAAACAGGGCCTCACTATGTAGCCCTGGCTTTCCTGGAATTCACTATGTAGACCTCCTACTTCTGCCTCCCAAGTGCTGAGACTAAAGGCGTGAGCTACCATACCTGGTTGTTGGTATGTAGTCTGATTTTTTTCTTGTCTGTGTGTTTTCTTTAGCTTTAGTGCTAAGGCTCTAGCCCAGGATACCATGCATATTAGGCCTGTACTCTACTACTGAGCCCAGACCTAAGGTTTTTTTTTATTATTTTTTTTTTTATTGAGCTATATATTTTTCTCCTTTCCCTTCCCGATCTAAGTGTGACTCTTAAGTGACCACTGATGGCTCTCTTCACTGACTTCAATAAGTAAGACATAACAGCAACAGCAAAGACATGGTAAAACTATTGACAATATACATTTTGCAGACATAACACTTTGGGTGTGTGGTAGCCATGGTTGGCAGCAAACTCATAATGTGGCTGAGGATGACCTTGCACTTCATATCCTCCTGCCTCTGTTTCCCAAGTGCTGGGATCACAAGTGTGTGCCACCATACCAGATGTGACACATCTTAAACTTTAGTAACCTTTTCTCTGTCATTAAGTTTGGATAATCAACAAATCAACAAGTCAAGTTCTACTTTGCCACATATGCCAATTTTATGGTATAAATACTCCAAAATCATTGCTAAAATCAAGCTACAAATGTTTCCCTTCTTACATTCTGCTGGTGAGGTACTCCATGTGTACAGACAATAACAAATGCTCAGACATTGGTAATCAGATGAGGAAATGAGTCTTTATTTCAGTATGTTTTCTTTCCCTTTATGGCTGTATAATTATGTTCTAAATAGCTAGATTTAACCAGTTTGCAAAATTCTTGAAAACTTAACAGCTGGCTCTTTCTCTAGCACATCATTGGCTTGTCTTATTACTGAATTGGTAGAATTCTTTAAGTGTATTCTAGCTCGGCACTTACAGGGAACCATGGAGTTGGTCTGGTCTAGCTATCTTAAGAGGTATGTGTCATAGGTTTTTCAGGTTAGAGTCTCCTTGGGCATTGTGTACCTTCAGTTCCGGAGAGATTCAGGGACTCTTCAGGCAGTGAAGCATTTAGGCAGCTTTGTGTTTCTCTGTATTTTCCCTTAGAAGTCCCTTGGAAGTCTGACAGGACAATTAGTCTTGGACATTAATCTTGTGTACCCTGTATAGCTTGCGAAGGTCATTGTATCCTGGCAACTACTACAGCATTGATCCTGGAAACCACCATTATATTCTGGTTCTGATAAAGGTATAAAAAGTCCGATTGCTCTCAATAAGATTGTTACAGCCTCAGTCTTGCTGTGGCCCCTCCAGCCCAAGGCTGGTTCAATGCCTCAACCAGACATATCAAGTAACCTTGGCCTGGAGAGTAAACGTAGACCTTACAGGCACTACCTGATATCACTTTCTGGGATAATGAAAACATCTGTCAAATTGCCCAGTACAACATCTGCTGGCTACCCTGGTTGAGTTAGTGAGCGTTTGAAACATAGCTAGTACAACTGAGGAGCTGAATCTTAAATTTTCCTTATTTTGATAGTGCAAAGTGGAATAACTGCGTGGGGCTAATGACTAGTACATGGAGGAGTGGCACTGACTAGACACAGAACTGACTCTCGTCTACGTGGCTGAAGAATATCTGGGGCAACACTAAAGATAGGAAGAATTCCACTACTGTACCACTCTCGACATGCTCACAATAGTTAAAAGCAGATTGTAGCCAGCAGGCGATAGTAACAGTGCACACCACTGCACACATCACAGAGTAAGGGCAGAGGAAATGAAATCATGTATGTAGAATGCTCTTTCCCCCTACCCTCCCATACCTTTCGTACCCACTAAATAAACCCCATACCCAAGCTCTCTCCACATGGTGCATCTGTCTGTCTCTTGCCGGCCGAGGCCTCTCCCAGGGGCAGTGGGACCTGCCAGGGTCACCCGCGCCGTGGTAAATCTTTCACCAGCTGTACTGTAAATGCTCAGTAACTGGAGCTACGTTCTAGTTTGGCCTTCCCTTTTGAGTCTGTTAAATTTGCAGATCAGGGCATCCCTCTATCCTCACCAGAGAAGTTTCTTGGAGTAGATGGCAGCCAACACAGAAACCCACTACTGATCAACCTGCGGACTTGGGAAATCTCAGCCCTAGAGGGGATGTCTATCTCATACTCCTCACCTCAAAGCTCAGGGATGTGGAAGAGGAGTAGTAAGATTTTAAGAACCAGAGGTGGTGAATGGCTCCAGAGAGACAGCATTTTCCAAATACAACAGGGGAAGATGCAATACGAACTCGAACTCACGAAGATCGCCAAGAGTATGCAGGATATCTGCAGAAACTCAAGCTACACAAAGCCCCAGGACAGAGAAGGGGAAGTGGGCACAAAAGACCCTCAGTCAAAAAGCTATTCATAATTGACAGCTAAGGGAGAAGAAAAGTCAGTTGTTTTTTCCAATAGAGTAACTCTGGGTATATCAACCACTCACTCTCCAGGGCAGGGCTCCATGCTTAGTTTATTTTTGATTTTTTTTAAGAAAGGGAGAGAAATAGAGCATGAAGTTGAGTGGGTAGGGAGCTGGGGGAAGGGAACGAAGATGATCAAAATGTAGTGTATGAAATTCTCAAGGAATAAAATCTTCTTTAAAATGCTCCTCGGAGTTACTGTATGGCTCACTAGCTTGAAAAATGGGTAAAATCCACTCATAAGCCAGTTATTAACAATCTAAGTAATCCTTCTACCATACTTGCCTAAAGGGCTCAAAATCACGTCACTGTATTCCTCTCCTCCCTTCACACGGCTTTAAAATTGGCCGGGCTGCCGGGGAGACGTGAGATTGACAGCGCCTCCGGCCACTCACTAGCACCGGCCAATCAGAGGCGGCCCCGTCTCAGGCCCAGCCCACGTCCCCGTCCAATCGCGTCCGGGTGGCGGCCAGAGCCGGACGGTTGGGAGGTAGTCGGTTCCAAGTGCACCACGGCGCGGGGGAGACTGCGGGTTCTCAAGCAGCAACCCTGAGAGCGGCTCGCACGCCACGACTGGACCCGCCACGCCGCGGCTGCTGCGAGCGTCCCTGCCCAGTGCGGCCGCCGAGACTGACCTTTGCCGGGAGCCCATCCCGGCAGCCGGCGTGTGCTGCAGGTCCTTGGCGTCCCCTCCGGCGCGCTCTTGGAGCCGCTTCCCAGAGCGGAAGTCTGCCTGCTCGGGCTCCGGTGGGGCCTGCTCGGAGGAATGGCGCCGCCGGGTGAGGCGTTGCGCATGGCTCAACAGTGGGGCCCCGCGGCCGACACGCTTTGGGGAGCGGGGCGTCGCCCGCGGGAGGCTAGTGCGAACCACACGGGCGCCGGCCAGGCGCGGTTCCCCTCCCCTACGGGGCAGGGGCATGGGCTCGGGCGCTTTCGGGGTCGTGGGTGTGACGGAGGGCTGCGAGCTCTGGTGAAGTGCCGGCGACCCGAAGGGTTGGTGCGAGAGTGGGAGTGTGTGCTACGCGTGGCTACGGGTCCCCGCGAGGCCCAGCGCGAACCGCGGCAGCGCGGACCCCGGGCCTGGCCTCCTTCATTCATTGGAGTGGTACCTGCGGCCTACAACCTGTCTGGGAGCCGCACTTGGCGTCCTGAAAGCCTTTTCACCACGTCACTGCACTTTCTTGGGGTTTTGGTTCTTTCTCCCTGACAGGGACAGACGACTCACCTAGCCTAACGCCTAGGCTATGAAGTAATACTAGAGGTGCAGACCTGTAACCGGCCGCATAGTCACTGTGAGACCAGGTGCCAGGGACTTAACCCCTCTGCACCCCAGTTTCTCAGCTGGTATCTGCTTCGTAAGAGCTGTGTGAGATGGTATGCTGTGCTTGCTTTTAACAGTGCAGGGTAGATGTGAATGGACACAGTAGTGTGGATCTTAGTGTCGTCTTTTTCAAAATCACCATTTGGGTGTATCTGGCTATTCCCCCTGGTTGAGGAGTAGTTGGGATCCCGGAACACAGAGAACAAAACTTGCTATTTCACTCTTCGATTTGGTAGTCAAGTGGTTAGACAGAATTTGTATCGAAACTGTGTCCAGTTTGAGTCTCAGTTACATGTCTTAGGGCAGGGTCTAGGGAGCTGGGTTCAGGCCCCAGCACTGAGAGAAAAACAAGTTCATGGTACACAGAGGATCCTCTATATATTGCTGGATACTGCACATTATAGAGCGCTTTGACTTTTCAGTTTAGCGTCGGCGCTGAGAGGGACTATACCCAGACCCAGGGAACGAATTCTGCACTAAGCCATTACCTCTGAGCATACTGGCTTCTCACTTTTTAAAGCGCTTTCACATTTAGGTTAGCAAACACACCAAGACTTACACGTAACTACTGTTCCTAGAAGAGTAATTCTCTGTGAGTTATGTATTCTGTCAACATTCTCAAAAAGAAAGAAAAAGGTAGGGGGCTATCAAGATGTAGGGGGGGTCAAGGTTCTTGTCATTGAGCCCTGTTGATAAGGGATTGATAAGATGACCCAAGGAGCTGGAGCTTCAGATGGAACTATGTGATAGAAGGAGAGAACTGACTCCCAAGTTTTCCTATGACCTCACCCCACCCCCAGTTTAATTTAATTTTTTAAGTGGAATACGGACCCTGTAGTGTTGACTAGGTTGAATCCAACCAAGACCAGCCATGTATAAGCTACTGTAATCCTCAGTTTTCTTCTTTGTAAAGCAATGCCTTTAAAGGATTCTAATTCAGATTAAATTTGAACTATAGGCAAAGCATTTAGAGCCATTGATGTTAGTCTTGTAATTGCCTTTTAATGCTTTTAACTCTGGTGACAGGCAATTCACTCTTTCATGTTTCATGACAGCCTATTCACAAGGTTCCCTCGGTTTTTATTTTTAATGAAAGTTAGATGCCATTCCTACAATTTCTTCCTGTCCCCTGGGGGATCACAGATGGGACTGGATTTTCTTTCCATGTATTCGTTAAATATTTACTCGGTGCATACCATACCTGGCAGTCTGTAAGATTTGGAAATACTGAAATAAACATGAGAAATAGTTTTTAGCCTCCTCCTGCTCCAGGGGCCTAGAGCTTACAGTTAAGCAGAGAAATCAGCCTTCATATTCATCTTATTATTATTCTTATTTTGTCATGAAACAGGGTTTCTCTGTGTAGTCCTGACTGTCCTGGAACTCGCTTTGTAAACCAGGCTGGCCTCAAACTCAGATCCACCTGCCTCTGTGCATCCTGGGTGCTGGGACTAAAGACGTGCGCCTTTGCTGAGTGGCTATACCAGCAAGTACAATCATGGAAGCAACAGCTGATACTGTACAGAGTGCTCTTTACAGGACAGTCATTATTCTAGAACCTTTCTCCCTTAACTCCTAACAAGCCCAGGGGTGACACTTGTCATCTTTATGCCTGAGAGCTAAGGCGGTGGCTGGTTCCTCTGTAGCCCAGAGGCTAGGTTCTTCATTGTACTGGGGCAGAACTCATCCCAACAATACTGAAGCTGAAAGCTGAAATTAAGGAGAACCTAAAAAGTATGTTGGGTAGGAATGTGGCTCCTTAAGGAACAGGCTAGAAAGAGAAAGCTGTTGGAGTGGCCGGGGAGGAGTTTGGTTGAGAGGGAAACACGATTTAAGGATTCAGGATTTGTTCTGTCCTGGGAAGTTTTACTTGGGAATGGTGTGGTCTTGTTCTTCAGATTCCTGGAGCTTGCAGGAAAGATTGTCTTGGTTGTCGAAGATGGAGGTCATCATTCCCCCATCTCGAGGCTAAACCTGTATTCCCTACCCATTCCCACATGGTTGGGCTCCCAGACCTTAGTGCATCATTGTTGGGACTGGGACCCAGGGTAATGTGGCATGTACTTAATAGCCATTTCTCTCCAAGGTTCAAGTGCTGTCTTCCTGTTGGCCCTGACAATCATAGCCAGCACCCAGGCTCTGACACCTACCCACTACCTCACCAAGCATGATGTGGAGAGACTGAAAGCCTCGTTGGAGCGCCCTTTCACAAATCTGGAGTCTGCCTTCTACTCCATCGTGGGACTCAACAGTCTTGGGGCACAGGTGCCAGATGTCAAGGTAATGCTGCCTTTCTTCTGTTTATAGTGTTTTGGGAGAGCCTAATCTTTCTTTCTTCCTTTCTTTTATTAAATGAGTGCTCTATCTGCATATATGCCTACTTGCCAGAAGAGGGCATCAGGTCCCATTATGGAAGGTTGTGAACCATCATGAGGTTGCTGGGAATTGAATTCAGGACCTCTGAAGAGGAGCCAGTGCCTTTAACCAGCTGAGCCATCTCTCCAGCCCCCAGCTGGGTGTTTCTAAGGGAAAGGAGAAAAGTGAGTCAGAGCCTCTGAAATCTACCAGAACTCTATCTGTGAAACTGCTCAATACAGTGTTTTTGGTTTGTGTACTTCTTAGCCACTGAGCCATCTCCCCAGCCCCATAACATGTGCTTGTAAAGTGCTAGGTGCATGGCTAACAACTCTTAAAGGAGCTCAAGGTGGAGGACTCACATGCATTAATCAGTGACAGCCATTGTGTCCGGCAGTTTGGACTTATTCTACTTTTGGTGAGCAGAATACAGTGCGGTAAAAATACTTTCTGAATTTAGGAACTATTGTTGTTTTACTTTTTACTCTTTGAAGGCTCACCACCCAGTTTCCAAATAAATACAGAGACTTATTCTTACTTATGAATGCCCAGCCTTAGCTTAGGCTTCTTTTTAGCCAGCTTTCCTTAAATTATCCCATCTACTTTTTGCCTCTGGGCTTTTACCTTTCTCTATCCTATATACCTTTCTTCCCTTCTTACTCCATGGCTGGTTCTGTGGCTTGTGACTGGCCCCTGGTGTCATCCACTCCTCCTTTTCTCCTTCTTCCCTCTTCTCTTGAGCCCAGATTTCTTCTTCTATTTATTCTCTCTGCCTGACAGCCCTGCCTATCATCTCTCCTGCCTAGTTATTTGTTGTTCAGCTCTTTATTATACCATTCAGGGGTTTTAAGCAAACAGAGTAACACAGCTTTACAGAGTTAACCAAAAGCAGCATAGAAGAATGCCACACATCTTTGTATCATTAAACAATTGTTCCACAGACGAAACACTTGGAGCACATCTTGAACTAATATTCTACAACAAGGAACAGCTAAGGGGTGTGTAGCCATTACAAAATCATGGACAGTTAGACTAAGGCATTCTCCCTGAGTATTTCTTGTTTTCTATGACTTCATAAGAAATTCCCATAGATTTAGGATTTGAAAACCACCCATTCATGTAGTAAAATGGCTCAGTGAGTAAAGGTACCTTAGCGAGTTCAGCTCTCAGAACTCACATGGTGAAGGGAGAAAACCAATTCCTACAGGTTGTTTATGACAAAGATCAAGCTCAGTTTGTCAAGCTTGGCAACATGAAGCTTTGCTAGCTGAGCCATCTCATTGACCATAGTACTACTATTCATTATAGTATGCATCCTTGATTGTCAGGATGCTTTGATGTGCTTCTGCTTCTTCCTCGGGATTGTTGGTCCATAAGGGTGGAGGGAGCAGAAGCGAGGAGCAGAGTTTGGACGGCTGTGGATGTGACAGAGACAGAGACAGCCCTCCAGGAGATGAGTTAGCTTTATTAAATAAAGCTAATCTACTTAGCTTTATTCCTGAATATAGGGAATATATAGAATTGGGAAGCCTAGGGACAAACCCTAATTTGCATCAAGTGACATGCTCCTATCATAAAGCTTCGTATGTGGCAGCAGGGTCCCATAGCAGAGGGTCACGCTAGAGATAAATCAGGCATCCAGGCTTAGAGACAGCTTTCAGATAAGGTCAGTCCTTTGAACCAAGGGACAATCTCCACATAAAGGCAGGTAGAGAGCAGGAAGTCTCACTATTAGGGAGGGAGTCTCCATGTCATCTAACTTTGGAGAAAACTGCCAGGCTGTGATAGACTGTAACCTCTGACCAGCAAGACCTCCCAACACTTTGAGATATTTTTGCTACATCACTAATACTGAAAGTATTATATGATAAGGTGTTTCCACACAAAAGCTCATCATTTATGCTGTTGCCTTGCTTTTTGCTTTATTTCAAGAGTCAGTGGCAACTAGTAGAGGTTTTGTATTGTAAAGTGTAACAAATGAAGTTGGACCAATGTCAGATTTTAGTTGGATTTGTGTTTGAGGCTTGTAGAGGAGTGAGGCTCTCATAGTGCCTTCTGAGCTGTGGCATGGAGTTCCACATGAAATTTAGGTTGAATGCATTCCTTTACAATTGTTCCCTCCTGGTGTTGTAAGTTTGAGGGGCCATCGATTAGGGCTTGTGGTGTGAACTGAAGTTTGAGGGGCCATCAATTAGGGCTGGCGGTGTTTGAGGGGCATCGATTAAGGCTGACAGTGTGAACTGAAGTGTGAGGGGCCATGATTAGAGCTGGCAGTGTGAA